CAAAGAAAGAAATGTCACATTCCGCAGAACTGCAGAGAGCATCCTCATTTCAGCTAAGGTATGTTTGAATGACTTGACTTTCATTTCTCTTAATATTAAATCACAGTAATGTTAGTAAGAACAATTTTCCTCCCACACTAACTTCACTGACAAACCTCCAAAGTAGCTGATCTTTGACTCTGAAGAAGTTTAATAATACATGATCTTCCCCCCCACACTGCCACACACATTTCACCATCTATTGTCTGTATCAGCTACTTGAAGAACACATACTCCCCAACAACCAGATGAGTCATAAAATAAGAGGTACATGGATGTAAACCGAGCCTGTTTACACTTTCCCTGACCCCAGCTAATAAAATAAAAGAGGTCTCATTGAATTCAGGTCCAATGGCTTCCGGAAAGCAGGTTTCTGCTTAGCAAAGACATACCTTATTTAGTACATTATTTTAAAGGTAGAGCTAATTTCATGCCCCACATAAATGAAACGTACTTATGGTTATACGTATGCACAGGGTGTGTAAGGGCTTGGCCTCCTCGTGTCCTCTACAAAAGGCTCGGCTGCTTCTGATGGTGAGCTCACCAACAGAAGGAATGCCGAAAAGGTCTCACCTCTCCCATTCACAGAGCTCTGTAATGGGGGCTGGGTCCCTGCTCGCTGGCAACTCGGCACCCAACAGGGTGCTTGCTTAGGTTTCCCATCTGCATTTTTGAAGATCTGGATAAAAGCAGGTTTAGCCCAACCTCCCCTGACCTGTTCCTGATCAAGTGATCTTACGCCTCTGGAACTGGGATTTTGAATGTATGTGCCTACCCCATGTCTGGTATTATGTTACAACAGCATGAAAATGGAGCCTAGGACTGAGGAGCCGGCCAGCCTCAGAAGCCTTCTTCCTTGCCTGCCATGTAATACATGATATGCAAAGCCTCTGACTTCAGCCAGCAGATATTTGGAGACCGTGTTGGCCCTAGCATGGGGACTAAACTAATGTGTGTTTAGGTCAGAAAGCGAATCAGAAAAGCCACTGGAGGGCACGTCACGGAGTGAGAGCCCTATAAATTCATCCCCCCTCGCAGCGTCCCCTGGCAAACACTCGGCTTCCCTCACTGGGCCGCTGCACATCTCTCCTTCGTGGTGCCAGGAGAACTCCGGCTGGCAGCTCCTCTTCTCGCCGCTGCCTTCTGCCCTGCAGAAAAGAGAGAGGGCGAGACCCCCGAGGAGGAAGGAAGCCTTCGACAGGCGCGAGGAAAGCCCCGAGTCGCCCTCCCGCCGGCAGAGCGTC